GATGTTTAGTGACATTGAACATCTTTTCATATTGGCCATCTGTATGTCCTCTTAGGAGAAGTGGCTATTTAGGTCTTCTGCCCATTTTTAATGAGATTGGTGTTTTGGTGTTGAGTTTTATAAGTTCTTTATAAATTTTTGATATTAACCCTTTATCAGATATATCATTGACAAATATCTTCTCCCCTTCAGCAGGCTGTCTTTTCATTTTGTTGATGGTTTCCTTTGCTGTGGGAAAACTTTTTAGATTGATATAGTCACATTTGTTTATTTTTCTGTTGATTTCTTTGCTCAAGGAGATATATTAGGAAAAATATTGCTAAGAGGGATGTCAGAGATATTACTGCCTATGTTTTTTTCTCGGAGTTTTATGGTTTTGAGTCTAACATTAAGTTTTTAAGCCATTTTGAATATTATTCTTTATTTCAGTCAGTGTATTCTTAATTTCTGACTGGTCCTTTTCCTTTTTTTTTTTTTGGCATTCTCATTAAGATCTTTGAAAGTCTCACTAAATTTCTTGGAGGTTTCTAGAAGATTCTTGAATAACCTTATAACTGTGGTTTTAATCTCTATATCCAGTAGTTCACTTTCTTCTGTTTCTTTCATTTGTGACATGTTTCTTTGTCTCTGCATTTTGGCTGCTTCCCTGTGTTTGTTTCTGTGTATTGGGTTGCTGCTATGTCTCCTTGAGTTGATAGAGTGGCCTTGTGTGCTAGGTGTCCTGTAGGGCCCAGTGGCTCAGCCTCCCCAGTCACCTGAGGTGGACACTCTAGGTGCACCCCTTTGTGGGCTGAGTGCACAGTCTTGTTGTAGTTGCGCCTTGATTGCTTTTGGTATCACTGGGAGGAATTGACCTCTAGACCAATTGGCTTTGGGGACCAGCTGCCACTACAGTGGGAGAGCTGCTGTGCAGGAAACACCCTTATGGAGCAGGACTTGTTTCAGTGGGGCTTTGGTGCTCACTGAGTCTGCTCCTTGAGTGTGTTGCTTATGGACGTGTAGAGTTGTAATCTGGTATGGTCTGACACTGACCACTGGGTACACTGGCTCTTGGGTCTCCAGGGAGATTCAAAGTCAACCACTGCCTGGGGCCATCCAGCAGGAGCTACAGAGAGATCTGCAGATTCCTCCTCTTTGTATTGGGTTTGGAAGTGCCCAGACAAGGCCCAGGTGTGAAGCAAGGCAGGCTGGTGCTGGTGCAGGGTCTTGGGCCTTTTATTGATAGGTTTGGGGCTCCTTGACCCAGCTGCAGCTTGTTTGACAGGTTTTTAGCCTTAGAAAGTACAGGCCATTCATACACAAAAGCCATTGAGCACAGCTTGGGTGGAATTGTAAATTAGGTGGGGCGGGGTCTTAGGGATTCACCAGGGCAGAGCAAAGAGAAATGGCTGCCAGTCAGCCCTGTACTGGGGAGAACCCAGCATGGGGACAATGACCCCTGCAAGCACCTCCGTCTGGAAGAAAGCCGCCCCCCGAGGTCCTGCCAATGCCAGACAATCCAGTTTTTCCTTGTATGTGTCTGGGTCCCCCAGAGCCTCGCCCGGCACTGGAGCTCAGAGGAAGTGGGAGCTTGTAAATTCAGTTTGTGGTGCCGGCCTTTTAAGAGGAGCAGCTGGGTCTCCAGCAGCCTGTGTATCACTGAGCCCCAGTCCACACTGGTTTTTATAGCCTGTAGTTCTTACTGCCCGTAGGGACTTCTTTTCCCAGATCTGGGAGCCTGGGCTGGGCATCTGGTGTGGGGCTGGGACCCCTAGCTCCTCCGGGCGGCCTCCACAGAGGCAATCTCCCTCCCAATTAAAAAAGAGGCACACTTGGGTGCTGACCAGCCTGTTCCTCGCTCCCCGCCTCCTACCAGCCTCAGTGTGCTTTCTTCTTACTTCTCTAGTTGTAGTACTTCCATTCAGCCAGCTTTCCGGTGGTTCTGGATGATGGTTGTTCTGTATTTTAGTTGTAATTTTGATGTGATTGTGGGAGGCAGCGAGTATAGGCATTTGCCTACGCTATCCTCTTGGTTCTCTGAGGAGGATATTTTTTCCATTGCTTTTTAGAGAGAGTAGAAACCAGGGGGAAAGGCAGAGGGAGAGAAACATCAATGTGAGAGAGATGCATCGATTGGTTGCTCCTGCATGCGGCCCAGCTGGGGCCAGGGATCAAGCTTGCAACCAAGACTATGCCCTTTACCTGAATCGAACCTGTGACCCTTCATTTGGGGCAGAGGGAAGGGGCCCAGAGCTCTAACCACTAAGAAAACGGGCTAGGGCTGGGATTGTTTCCTTAGTTTCCCTTTTTGATAGTTTGTTTTATTGGTGTATTGTGGAGAGTGGCTATAGCATTTGGACAGGTTCAAGCCTCAGACTAATGACAGGGCATGGTCCTCTCGTTGCAAAGCCATGTGTAAGTCCCAGCTTGGAGGGCAAAGCCCTCCCAGCACAATTACAGCCAAAGGCTATAGTTGTAAGTTTGACCTTATGGTCGGAACCGGTGGTCCCAGGTGGCTAAGTGAGGTAGGCTGTGGGAGGTGCAGCAAGTGCTGCCAAAACAAAGCTTGATAGAGTTCAGGTACATGTAATTGAGTAGATTCAAACCCCGGGAGAATATTGTAAACATCTTGACCACACTCTTACTTTGCCTCATGGAATCTGGCTATAAAATACTCTGTTTGCAAGCTGTGGCACTGTCTCTCCATCCGAGAGCAGTGTCCCACCTAGCCCCAGCTTTATTTTCTTATCTGTCTTCTTTAATCCTTCACCTGCCCCCCCCCCCACCCCCCCGCCAGGTTCACCTCTGGTCATGCTGAGTGCAGCACAGTGTATAAAAGTGCAACCAATTTCTGAATATTTATTTTGTATCCTGTTACTTAACTAAATTCATTTATCAGACCTAGTAGTTTTTGGTGGAATCTTTAGGGTTCTCTATATACAGTATCATGCTATCTGCAAATAATGACAGTTTTACTTCTTCCTTTCCCATTTGCGTGCTTTTTATTTCTTTGTCTTGTCTGATTGCTGTAGCTAGGACTTCCATTACTATCCTATATAATAAAAGCCTAATATGCAAATCAACCAAACGAACAAAGGACCGGTCGCTATGATGCACACTGACCACCAGGGTGCAGATGCTTAATACAGGAGCTGCCCCCAGCCCATAGGCCCCAGGCCAGCCAAGGTGGGTGCCAGTGGGGGGTCCCAAGATCGCCCTGTTGGTCGCTCCCCGATCGCCCCGTAGAGGGTGGTGATCGGTGGCTGGGGACGGAGCCAGCGAGCAGGTGGCACCAGGCTGGCCAAGGTGGGTGCCAGCAGGGGCCCCCTGATTGCCCCGTCGGTCACCCTGCAGATCAGCCCTGATTGCTGGCCAGGCCTAGGGACCCTACCATTGCACAAATTTTATGCACCAGGCCTTGCACGAATTTCATGCACCAGACCTCTAGTGTTGAATAGGAGTAGTGAAAGTGTACATTCTGTCTTGTTCCTGATTTTAATGGAAACACTTTTAGTTTTTCCCTGTGGAGTATGATATTAGCTGTGGGTTATCATATATTGGCCTTTATTATGTTGAGATATATTTACCTTTGTTCCCACTGTGCTGAGAGTTTTTATCATAAATGGGTGCTGGATTTTATCAAATGCTTTTTTTGTATCTATTGATATAATCATATGATTTTTAGTCTTTATTTTGTTTATGTGGTGTATCACGTTAACTGATTTGCTGATATTGTACCACCCTTACATCCCAGGAATAAATCCCACTTGATATAATGTTTTTAATGTATTGCTGAATTTGATTTGCTAATATTTTTTTTTCCCAATATATTTTATTGATTTCTTACAGAGAGGAAGGGAGAGAGATAGAGAGTTAGAAACATCGATGAGAGAGAAACATCGATCAGCTGCCTCCTGCACATCTCCCACTGGGGATGTGCCCGCAACCCAGGTACATGCCCTTGACCGGAATCGAACCCGGGACCCTTCAGTCCGCAGGCCGACGCTCTATCCACTGAGCCAAACCGGTTCCGGCTGATTTGCTAATATTTTGTTGAGAACTTTTGCATCTATATTCATCAGGGATATTGGCCTATAATTTTCTTTCTTTGTAGTGTCTTTATCTGGTTTTAGAACTAGGATAGTATTGACCTTATTATACATTGAGTCTGGGAGTCTTCTCTCCTTTTGACTTTTTTGGAATAGTTTGAGATAGGTGTTAGTTCTTTGAATGTTTGATAAAATTCACGTGTGAAGCCATCTGGTCCAGGACTTTTGTTTGTTGGAAGTTTTTTTTTTTCTGCTTTGATTTAATTGGTTTTAATCAATTTGTTCATATTTTCTGTTTCTTTTATTCAGTTTTGGAAGACGGTATGTTTCTACAGAAGTTCCTTCTAATTAAACACTAACTTCTTGTGTGTATGGATATTAGAACAATTTTTTTTGATAGGTCCACACCTCTTATTATGGCTACCTTTTTGACATAGGAAGTGAAAACTTAAGTTAATGGTTTCTAATGTAGTGACTTGATAAATGTTTATTAACAATATCTAATGTTTGTTAGAGTGCTCTTACTTGTTTTTTTTTTTTTTTCAATTTCTTTTTATATCCATTAACTTATTTGACTAAGTGAGTAAGGTGCCTTCAAAAATAGCTTTAAGCCAGCCCTGGCTGATGTGGTTGAGCTAGTTGGGGGATTATCCCATACACTAAAAGGATGGTGGGTTTGATTCCCCATCAGGGCACGTCTCTAAGCTTCAGGTTCCATCCCTGGTTGGGCCATATGGGAGGTGACCGATCGATGTTTCTGTCTCACATCCATGTTTTTTTTCTCTCTCAAATCAATAAAAAAAAAATTGTGTCCTCAGGTTAGGATTTAAAAACAAAATAACATTAAGCCAGTGCAGGAATACAGAAACAGCCCTGTACTGCCGATGTGTCCAGTAAATTAGGCAGCCATTTTATCTGCTTGTTCAGAATATTTCAACACCATTAATTCATAATTTTGTTTATCTCTTTAAGATCCACACGGGTTTACAGCACCAAATAATCTGGGCCTGTCAGCCCAGCTGCGTTCCTCCGGATGAAAAACTCCTGCCCCAGCTCCTAAAAGAAGCAGGCTACACTACCCACATGGTCGGAAAGTGGCACCTGGGAATGTACCGGAAAGAATGCCTTCCAACCCGCCGAGGATTTGATACCTACTTTGGTAATGGAAATGCACATGTTGATTTAACAACTCAGGCTGACTGCAGCCATCTCATAAAACACACCCACGTGCGATCGGATGAAATACTGTAACTGGAAACTTGAACACAGAGTGAGCCAGTCAGCACCACCGTGGGGCCACTGTCTAATGCCACCTCCATAACGTGGCTCATGACCCCACAGGGAGGCAGTTTCCTTTGCCAGGTGACTTAATGCCACTTTGGAGCCTTTGGAAAATGTGCTACCTTCACATCCCAGACCACTGTACTCGTAGAGAACCTTACTATCAAAAGGGGTTACAAATGATTTTTTTTTAATTGCAAGCAAAACCCAATACAAGAATATTTCCTTCACTAAGGTGTGGAATATGTTTTTCTCCCTGTGAGCTGTGTTTAGAGGTTTTTTGTTTGTTTGTTTATTTTTAAAGATGGTGGAGAAGATTCTTTTCCATTGGCATTCTTCTCCCTTTCTTACAGATCTGTTTTTGAAATCACTAGATTGGGGGAAATAGATTAAAAAAAAATCTGAGGAAAAGTACAGATAGTAATAGGAAGGATAATAAGAAATTATAAGTATCTTATGAACTTGAGAGCTCTATAATAAATAACATGAAGCCTAAAGTTTATTTCTAAATGTGCCCTCTTTAAATCTGTTCAGAGCCGTCTTAATTAACAACCTGTTTATTTTGACAGTGGCTATATATCTCTGCCAGGTTCTTTTTCATACTGTTCTTTCTATCTAGCTATTTCACTACCTACCTCCCTTTTTATATATATTCATTTATTTTCAACTTGCCGTATCTGAAAAGGAGTACATATTTCAGCATAAAACATTTACAAATAAATAGGATAAAAAATTAGGACAAATAGAAAAAAGATGGAACAGTTGCTTGGCACAAAATTAAGAAAACCACTGCATGGTTGTAGTAGGTGGGCTTCACATTCAACTCTGAGAGTTGAAATTTTTTATGTCCAAAGCAAAAGAAAAAGGGGTAAGTCTATAAGAGTCACATTATTTATAAGATAAATGGAAACCAGATGTTCAGGAAGAGTAAAGCATTTTCTGGCTCTTAGACCTAAGAGAAATTCCTCCTTTGGGAGAAGGTAAGGTGGAGAGTGTCCTCAAAGACATCATTTTAGTAATAAAGTGGTGGTTTTCTTACAGATGTTTCCTGATGCATTTTCTTTTATTCAAGCTGGGGCCAGAGCACCAAAGTGCATTTCAGTAAAAGTGATTTCATGGGGCCCAAACAATGCAGTCGAAGCAGGTAGCTCTGTAGCGCTTGTTGAATGAGGATTAAAGTTGAGCTGCAAGGACCTCAGACGTGAGATCTTGTGTGCCCTGCGCTGTCCAGGTTCTCTAGCAGACATCACTAATCAATCATGGCATTCTCTGTGCGTGAACTAGACACACCCTGAGTATCCTTAAATAGCTGTGCAAGATCATACCGGATGTAAGACCTCTGTCATTTCGGAAATTCTAAAAGAAAAAACAGCCTGTACACCCTTTGAAATTTTTCAGTCAGGTCTTTGCTAAAATATGGATCAGTACCTATACTGTAAGAAGAGAAAAACTATGGATATTTAAAAAAATTCATTAAAAAACAAGTTACATATTTAGAAATTCAGGGCTTAGATGGACAGACAGAGCTCACGCTCCTATGGGTTGGAGGCTTGCAAATAAGGAAGGCGTAATGACATGCAGCTGCCATCACTGTTATGGTCCTGATGTTCTGTAAAAAGCTGTCAGATAATTAGGGGGCTGGTTGCAAAGCTGCGAATACACTGCACGCGATTGAATTATATACTTTAAATGGGAGACTTGTATAGTATGTGAATTATATCTCAATAATGCTGTTAAATAGAGCCATGGGGGATTTAGCTGCTCAAAAAGTATTTTCTCTTTTTCTCCCAAAACGCCTAGGCTGCCATCTTCTTTAGGCTCAGCATGTAAGTTCAAATTTGTGAATCATTCTTATGAGAGAAGCTCTATGTGATTGTAACATGGATGCTTGGTGTCAGTTTGGTCAAGTATGTGAATAAATAGTTGTATTCTGGAATCCTATTTGTAAGATCTTTTTATTATTCGCAGTTCACCCTCTTTTAATCAAGTATATCCTAGGCATATTTTCTCCCAAATGATAAAAATAGTTTACATTTATAGATAATGAACCCGAAGTGATTTTCTCCAGGACTGATACCTAGTAGTTATTAAAAACCCCAAATAGAACCCCAGTGCCATGATCCCTCTCCGAACAGATATAGGGGCTGAAACTATTTTTGTGGACACATTTCTTTCTCTATTACATATTAGTTAGCAAACCCATTGGGTTTCCCTTTTTGTTATATATGTAGGAGAAAAATTATAATTTAAAACATTATCTTACGACCATTGTTCACTATATTCAGAACCATGAATTTAGTGAATCATGGAAAAGAAGGAAACTAATAAAAAATTAATTGATTTATTGTGTAAGCTGTGTAAGGCTCTTAATTGTGATTATAGGAAACATTCAGGACTGGGGAAAGGGCTAGGCCAATTTATCATCCGCATTTTAAGGTTAATCAGTTTTTGTCAGGTGATAGCTCAGGGTCCAGCACAGTTTATTTCTTTTTAAAAGCTTTATCAAAGTGTAATTCATTTATCATGCAGTTCAGCCAATTAAGGTGTATAACTCAATGATTTTTAATACATTCACAGGGTTGTGCCACTGTCCTCACAATTCAATTGTAGAACATTTCCATCACACCCCCAAAGAAACCCCATGCCCATTAGCAGTCATTCCCTATTTTCCCCCAACCCCACTAGCCCTAGGTGACGTCACTAACATAGGCTTTTGCCTCTAGTAGATTTGCCTATTATGGACATTTTATATGAGTGGCATCATACAATATGCAGCACAGCATATCTCTATTTATAAAAGGCTAATATGCTAAGTGTCCGACTGATTAGTCAACCGATTGGTTGTCTGCTTGACCAGTCCCTATAACACACACTGACCACCAGGGGGCAGATGCTCCAACTGCTAGGTTAGCTTGCTGCTGGGGTCCGGCGATTGGGACAGGGTGAGATGGGCCAGACACGCCCTGGAGCCTTCCTGCGGTCCTTCCCTGGCCAGCCAGACCTGATGGGCCCTGATCGGGACTGGGTGAGATGGGCCCCGATCGGTCCTGATCACCAGCCAGGCTGAGGGCCCCCACCCATGCATGAATTCGTGCACTGGGCCTCCAGTTTTAATATATTAGGAAAATATGGAACATTTGCAGAAGCAACTGTTGGTTGAGAAAACTCATTTCCTCCCATGGTTAAGTCTAAATTATGAGATAGGCAGTTAATGCCATTTAAATTTGGGGTGAAATTGAGATCACAATAGGTAGAAAAGTCTAATCTTAGTGCTGCACATTAGTTTGATCATTTGGCCCTGTTATGTATAGAAATCCTCCGTTTGGAAAGGTTTGTGTCTTTGACCAGTGGGTGTCAGTGTCTGACTAAAGATGATTCCTCCTAGAGCCACTTCTATAAATAACCTTGAAGCCAGTCTTTGAAGGTCAATATCAATATTATTCAATCCCTGCATTCATTTATGTAATCACCTCAGAATAAATACTTGTAACAAATCACATTACCCATATACTATTTTAGCTATTAGATAGCTTTAAAAGATTAAGATGTTATCATCTTTACTGAATTTGAACCCTGACTTTTTAAAAATGCATTTACTTAGAATCACCCACTTTGAGAGTTACATGATAGAGCTTGTATGCTGAAGACTTGAGTGAGGAGTGGATTTGAATTTTTTTACAATTATACTTGAATGCCATCTGCTAGAAAATACAGAGATGTTAAGAAATGCTGCTCTGATTAACCTTGTCGTCAGATTAGCTTTGTCGTGGGTAATCAATTGCATTAGGTAATTAAATACTGGAACATTAGTTTAACAAGTTTTATGCCCTGCTGACTACTTTCATCTCCCATTCTTGCTGTAGGATATCTCCTAGGTAGTGAAGATTACTATTCCCATGAACGCTGTGTATTTATCAACGCTTTGAATGTCACACGATGTGCTCTTGATTTTCGAGATGGTGAGGAAGTTGCAACAGGATATGAAAATATGTATTCAACAAACATATTTACTGAAAGGGCTACAGCCCTCATAACTAACCATCCACCAGAGAAGGTAAGTCTTGCCTCTTTATTGATATCAAGATTGTGTTCAGAGAGGGTCTCCACAGATGAGTATAGGAAGAGGCCATCGAGGGAAACATCTAATACATTCTAGGGGAATTATTTTCAAATTTTAGAGTGCACTAGTATCAGCCTGGGAAGCTTGTTAGAAATGGAAATTCCTGAAGCCCATAAGAGTCTGATCTCGCATATCTGCGGGAAATCCATACCCTGGCATTTTAAAGAAACTCCTCAAGGATGATTCTGGTTAAAATGGTTCCCAGATTACACTCTGAGAAAGACTGTATCTATAGAGTTTTAGTAGAAATATAGTTTATTATTTGGTGCATTATGTGCATGTGCTGTAAGTAATTAGCAAACTGACATTTAAAAAATGATAGGCTTATGTACAGGATGAGGTTTTATTATGGCAAACTTTCTATTAAGAGCTCACTAAACTTTAGGTTCAGGCTAAGTCCTCTAACTTTGTATTCCTCCCCCACACTCAAGATCGTGTTAGCTATTCTAGATGTTTTGCATCCCCTAGATATTTTGCATCCTCTAATTTTAAAATCAGTCGATCCATTTCTTTAAAAAAAAAAAAAATGCCTGCTTGGGATTTACATTTCATTAAATCTATAGACCTTGGGAAGAATGGATGTCTTAAGAATATTGAGTGTTCCAACCCATAAACATGGCATACGGATGAGCTTGTTTTTTACATTTATCACCCTGAAACCATTGTATACTTCATATGCTAAAATCTTTTGACTTTTCTATAGGTAAAACTAAAAGAGTTTGAATAGCCTTAAACATTTTTTTGCTAGCCTAGAGTTAACCACATGAGCTAAAGTTTAAGCTGAATTCTCTGGATTTAGCTTATAAATACCTTTAAAATGGGTCAAATATTTGTGGTGTCAGATATTAGGCTCAAAATATAGCTTTATTAAGAACTGCATTAGCATACCCACGAAATTAACCTTCAGTAGGATGCTGGCAGAGCAGATCACAGAATGTGCGGTGTTGTCTGGTTCTTCCCATTTCCTGCACTTTGCCTCCTTGACAATTACTGAAGGTGTTCAGTGCAGATCACAATTTGGATTCCAGTTTATATACTTGTGAGACATGGTACCTGGCTGCTGACTCCCTTTTTGATGTGGTTTCTTTGTGGCTCAGTCTTTGCCGCCTTTTGCTCATTATGAGGAGTCTTCCCTGGTATTTGTCCTTGGTTTTGCCACACTTTTGGCTTTTTATCCCTGTTTCACACTGACGTCTTGGCTTGGCCATGCTTGCTATGGAACATTCTCTCAAATACGGAGACATGAAGATTTTATTTTATGGTTATTGTATGTGTTTTATTTTAAACTAGAGGCCTGGTGCACAGATTCGTGCACCTTGGCCTGGCCTGCAGGGATCGGGCCAAAACCAATCTCTGGGTCCGGGGTGTGGGTGAAGCAGATTCGGGCCCTAGCAGCTACCTAACTCACGGCCAATTCCGCAAGGAATCAGGCTCCCTTCTCTACTGGTTGGAGTGTCTGTCCCCTACTGGTCATTGCGTGTCATAGCTATTGGGCGAATGGTTGAACAGTTGAATGGTCACTTAGGCTTTTATATATATAGATTTTTTATTGATTTTTACTGAGAGAGAGAAAAGCATTGATTTGTTGTTGTTCCACTTATTTATGCATTCATTGGTTGCTTCTTGTATGTGCCTTTGCCAGGGGTCAAACCCATAACCTTGGTATGTTGGGATGACACTTTAAACAAGTAAGATACCTGACTGGGCTTAGACATATGCAGATTTTAAATCTAGAGCTACATCAATATTCAGACAGTTAAAAAGATAACTGCTAGGCAGTTGGTTTACGTTCTGAGTTTTCTTCTGTATGCTTGACATTTTGATACAGCTAAAAACCCAAAGAACAAGATAAGGTCTTAATGGAACTGTGGTCCTTGTCCTGTCCTTTGAGGTAGGCACTATGTTGCAAATAAGCAAACTGGCTTAGTGAAGTTAACTTGTTCAAGGTCACAGAGCTATTGAGAGTCAGAATCAGATTTTAAACTCACACTGTTTTTCTCCAGAGCCCAATGCACCCCCTATCCACAGTTAATAGACGTGACCAGAGATAGTGAGCCCAGTGCATGACTCATCCTGACCGTATATTGGGATCATCTGGAACAATTGTAAGAAATACCAGTTCCTAATATTGTGGTTTATCGGTCCAGGGTGAGACCCTGTCATTGGTATTTAATTACCTCCCTGCCCCCACCTCCCACCTCCCACCACCCACCAGTGATTCTGATGTGCAGCCACTTTTGACTCCCCTCAAACACAGATTGGAAGCAGAAACCAGCTGCCTTTTACAGATTCACAATATTATCATGGAACTAGAGTATGCCTACAATACAATTAGTTCCCATTAAGGAACAATGGAGTATCTCTCACAGTGCCCGTAACATTAGGCGGATAAGAGGAAGCAGCTGGGGTGAACTAGTTCTTGGTGTATGGGTTGCCTTAACTGGTGTAGTGTGGACAGCACAGGAACTGAGGACAACTGTAGGCCCCAGCGCTCACGGCCACCCATGCCCGTGTTGTTAGTGTGGCGCTGCTTAGAGGTAACATCAGGAAATTGCCCCGAGGGGGTGGTCGTTTTCCTCTCGTGTCTGAAATATTCTGAAGCCATATCCAGCATTCCTAACATCCTCAAAGTAAAGTTTCAAGCATAGATGTAAATGAATGAAATAGCCAATAGCTGAGTTAGCTCAGAAAGTTCCTTCAAAATAGCAAATGCAGATGTTTTTATTTTCCGTTCTCAGTAAAATGATGTCACCCCAGTTCCAGGAGCTGCACTTTATCCCAATGTTGAATCTTCTTTTTTTTGGTCTTTTTTATTGAATTTATTGGGGTGACATTGGTTAATGAAATTATGTAGGTTTCAGGTGTACAGTTCGATAATACATCATCCGCATATTATATTTTGCTCACCACTCCAAGTCAAGTCTCCTTCCATTACTGTTTACTTCCTCCCCTTTACCCTCTTCTACCTTCCTCCACCCTGACTCTTATTCTGTGCTAATTCTCAAGTGCTATATATAGACTGTAACATAAGCGACTTGTTCTAGGATGGAAATCATTAAAGAAATTCACACAAATCCACAAGCTAAAAGTGTCCCCGTTTTAAAGAGCACTTGAGGGGAAGAAGCATATGGAGCTATTTTGTAACAGAAGGACATGGTGCTGGACTCAGAGGGACCCTGCGAATAGCCATCGCACAATGTGTCGGGAAGCAGCGTCCTTTCTCCTTTTCTGCAAGATAATTCTGTCAGTACTAACACTGCAGTGTGAAAGCAACGTATTCATAAAGTATCTTTTGGTTAAAAATAGCCCCCTCAACACTTTGCAGAATAAAAATAAATCTTTTCTCACCCATCTAGCCTACTGAAAGCATCTGAAAGCAAATGCAAATTTCTGGTGGTAGACCCTTACTTTCCCTGACACATTTGAGAAAGGAATGTCTTAATTTGGAAGTCAAAGATAGAATAACAATTTAAAGCATATCATATGCTTTTTAAGTTTATTCTTTAAATTAGAAAAATATACTAAAGAAATGAAAACAAGGCTTTCTTTCTCACTGAAATTAGTGTCATCTCATGGTGAGGATATTTAGAGTATAAGAATAGACATAATAAGAAAAGGAAATGAACCCCTAGCATCTTATGAATATGCTAATAACTTTAAGTAGTAATGTGATATTTTTATGTAATACTTAAACCTTTGGTCATGACTCACATCTAGGATTCCATTATCTAGGCCTAAGAAACCTGAAAGGGTGCAGTTGGGGTTCGTAAAGATGGCAGCTGTAACTGCATTGCTTAGTGCAGGGATCTGGACCCAAGAAAGAGCGAGGGAGAGATCTGGGTTCAGTATAAACCCGGAGGTCAGTGAAGATCAGATTGGGTACAGGACTCCAGTGTTTTGAGACAGAAAGTCAGGTCAGAATGTGCCCTCAGGTCTCCAGAGGCCAAGGCTTGATTGGGTTAGAACTCAGGTCAGTAGATAGTGTGGTAATCAGGAGCTCATCCCCAGGATGGTGGCTGCTGATTTGGGCCAACAGAGGCCCTGGCTGGCAGGTGAGGGGGAATTGGCTGCTGTTAACTAGAAGGGCCCTAGGATGAGTGGCTGTAGGTGATTCCTGATTGTGGTTGGAGAACCTTAGAGCCCTGGGTAATTGTTCTTCCACTGGGCCACCATGGCGTACTAAGAACAGTACTCTGTAAAATGTTCTTAAATTTAAAAACAGTATAGAAACGCCTCACATCTGGCACTGTCGGGAAATAGGTTGCTTCACATATAAAGTTCACCTTGTGAGTGCTGAGACCTTATTTTTATAATATTGGATGGAAATACTCTAGAATGTGTTCACTGGTCCTCACCTCATTAAATGCGCTGCACTGTATATCATTCTGCCCCCACCTGGTGACCCAAAGCCCTGTTAATGTGTATGAGGCTGTTTGTCCACACACTAAATGACCCTACGTTACTGCAGATGAAATGGGAGGAAGAGAACTTGCTTTGCTCAAGGAATACCTTTAGCTATACTTGTAAGTTATTCGGATCTGGTCGGCAAGTAGTGCGAGGCCTTTGCATGGTCTGTGACAGTCACAGGACGGGCTCGGCCTCGTCCTCAGAAGTTGTTTTCACTTCCTCGTCTCAGTTATGCCCCTTCTCAGAAGCCTGATGCTGGAAAAAGGGGATTGCTGCAGTTTTCTAATTTTAGGCCCTCGAGAGTGATAGTCGTGCCCTTAGCCACTAAGGGATAGTTATTAGAAAGATTTTTCAGGTAATTTTTTGCTATATTTAACAAAGTGAGTAGAAGAATTTCTATATTGGATATGGATAAGGTCCTCTAATGATGGTCCCAGAATTATTATATATTCCTGGCATGGATATAAGAACTCTCCCCCACAACCCTCACCTCACTTGCTGGCCGGGACCAACCTCCCTTTTGCCCTTTCTCTCCATCACCAGCCACATGGGTTGACATGTTGCATATCTTTTTAAACAGCGAGGCTCCTTTCAGATTTCCTCCACCCTGCCCACTGTAGGAAATCCAGACCAGGGTCAAAAACTCTCGTGTTTACCAGACTCAGGCTACTTACCTAAATAAGTGAAACCGCTCACATGGCACAGTGGGGACTAGAGAAATGGCGAGCTTCTGAGACTGGGGTCCCTGCTTCTCATACTCAGCTGCTTGTTACTAGATGGAGTGTGGGTGTGGAATTGTCAGAAGTTGATTTTTCAGGAAAATTAAAACAAGACAAAACAAAACAGATTTTTATGTGATTATTCCTGATTTTTAAAACGGCTTGCAATTTGGGCTGTAATTGGTTGTAGCCTTACAATTTTTAACCCGATCTAGCCCTTGGCTGATGGTTGGGGTTGGCTTAGTCTAGGGCTAAAGACCAGACGGCTCCTCCGACCACAGCCCCTCACTGCCTGTCAGGCCATCGATGCCACTTCACATCCTTCCCTCCAAACATCTGAGTCCTTCCTCCCAGAGTCCTTCCTCAGCACCTGGACACAGCATCCCCTGGGACTCTCTCACCCGATTGGGAGGAGCGCAGGAGTGTCCGTGTGACTTCTGTGGCTGGAGGAGGTGAAAGGACAGAACAGGACTGATAGCTGTGTCCTTATCCCCTCTTCCAAGAAAAAGCCGCAGAATATATCAGTTACTCATCCTGCCCTTATCTCAGCCAATGGGAAAGCGGGGGAAACTAGCCCAAGGCCAAGAGTATGCTAGCCACCCCCCTGTCTTTGTGTAACCACACCCTAGCTGCACCCTGCCCTTGCGTCACTAGCCCCCCGGCCCTCACTCAACCAACCGGAATCGGCCAAATCAGTGGTCAGAGTGTGCCCCCACCCCCCAACCCCAAGCCCTATAAATTCTTTGTTCCCTTGGGACTCGGGGCTCTCTTCTGCATCCAGTAATGGAGGCAAGGGGGGGGGGGAGGGGACCAAGTCCCGGGCTTGAATAAAAGACTCTATGCTTTTGCATCGGACTCGGCGCTCCCTGGTGGTTCTGTGGGGGGTCTTGAAATCTGGGCATAACAGAGGAAGTGTGTGTGGAGACAGAGTGGGGCTAACTTAGTGTCAGAGCTTTAAAGTCGACCGTTGGAGTTGGAATTTGGAATGTCTTCCCATGGAAGTAATGCACAAATGAAGCACAGGTTCCACCTTATCATGGTTTTCATTCCATTACTTCTTCAGTTAAATAGGTTTTGAAGTGATTACCTTGATATTCAGCAGCTATTTTGAAGACTTTGATTTTGGGGGAAAGATGTTTCTAACTGCCAAAGGACTGAACTACAAATAACCTTTTGTGTGTCTATTTGAGCGCTGTACATGTATACTCCTTATGTTACCGCAGGGGTATAGAATAGATAATTTAAAACAATTTATCAACAGTGAAGAATGAAATATGAGACACCCATTCCCAGTCTGTTTTCTGACTTTTTCCTATTCATTTATGAGATTTAAATGCCTCAAATACTTGAACAGAATTATATATTTATTCTAGTTGGACTAGTCTTTTTGAGGGTTTCAGCTCATTAAAGAATTCTGTAGAAGCACAAAGAGGAGAGAGCCTTCAGAAAGGCTCCTTAAAAAGGAGAGGCTGACCTGGACTACCACTAATGTTAAATGCTGTAAATTGGTCTGAGAGGTAAAATAGAATCAATACTTCACACTCCTTTGTTAGTTTCCAGAAATTAAATTGGCCGTATGTTTGGTCCTGGATCAAAGACTAACAAAGCATGGTATTCACTTGTTTTCTCATAAAAACATCAAAAATCCCTACCCTCTACTAAAAGGTGTGAAATTATCTTTCAGCTAGAGCAAAACGTTAAAGCATCTATTGGTACATATCCACACTATAGTAGTGGGGTTTTCAATGGGAAATTGCTCTGCAATTAATATGAACGTGGGCAAGTCATCTAACCTTTCTAAGCCTGTTAACTTATCTCTAAAATGAATGTAACATAGGGTGGTTTGGAGTATTAAATAAGATGGAATATATACATCTTTATAGTATCTAGCACATAGATATTTCACATGTAGTTATTATGATTGATATTATTATTTGTTTGGATCAGAGCCTTCTAGGCTATTTTAGAACTCAAGCTTTTATTTTTCGTCTTTTATCATGTGTCTTTTGTTACATTTTTAACATCTTTATTGAGGCATAATTCACATAAAATTCAGCCATTTAAAGTATACAATTCAATAGTAAACTCAGAGTTATGCAACCATCTCTATCTAAGTTTAAAATATTATCATCACCACAAAAAGAAGCTCTGTGCCTCTTCGCACAGAATTGATGGCTGATAATATTCCTTCTATTGCTGAGTGTTGCTGGAAATATGTCATGTTTTGTTTACCTGTTCATTAACAGGCGGACATTTGGGTTGTTTCCACTTTTGGGCTACCGTGAATAATGCTGCTGTGAATATTCATGTACAAGTTTTTGTGTGGATGTAAGAATGCTGCTGTGAATATTCATGTACAAGTTTTTGTGTGGATGTAAGCTTTCATTTTCTGGGAATGGGAATGCTGGGTCATATGGTAGCTCTATGTTTAACAATTTCAGGAACTGCCAAATTGTTTTTCATACTGGCTGCACCATTTGCATTCCCACCATCAATGAATTAGTGTTTTAGTGTCTGTACAGCTTCACCCACACTTATTATTTTCTGTGGGGTTTTTTGTGTGTTGTAACCTCCTAGTGGGTGGGAAGTGGTATCTCAGGGCGGTTTTGATTTTCTTAATGACTAAGGATATTGAGCATCTTTTCATTTGCTTATTGGCTATTTGTATATCTTCTTTGGAGAAATGTCTGTTCAAATTCTTTGCCAATTTTGTAATTGGGTTAATTGTCTTTTATTATTGAGTTGCAAGAGTTCTTTATATATTCTCCATACAAGTCCCTTATCAGGTACATGTATGATTTACAGATATTTTCAACCCATTCTGTGGGTTGCCTTGATATTAGTTTTTTAAACTGATAAATCTGAACATCTGTGTATTTAATGCTTCCATGCCCTCCTGACTGATTTGCATAAACTCTCTTCCCAGCCTCTGTTTCTCTACCTTGCCCTCCAGTCGGTCCATGAGCCCCTTCAGGTCCCCGAGGAGTACCTAAAGCCATATGACTTTATCCAAGATAAGAACAGGCGTCACTATGCAGGAATGGTTTCCCTTATGGATGAAGCTGTGGGAAATGTCACTGCAGCCTTAAAAAGCCGTGGGCTCTGGAACAACACGGTGTTCATCTTCTCTACAGGTAAGCCTGTCAACAGGAAAATCATCTCTTGGCAAAGTTTAGGACATGGTATTCGATGAATGGAATGAAGACAAATTGGAGCATTTAGCAGTTCCTTATTAAAATGAATGCTAACTGCAAGAGTGAAGACATGATCAAATGGGTAGAAAGATGTGTCTAAGGAAAAAGAATTACGGGCTTCCCCACCTTTCTTCCAATATGAAAATATTCTGGGAGTATGCTTGACAACAAGTGCTTTCTGAGTAGGTATGAGAGGGCATCCCTCACACAGGGCAGCTGGGCACTGAATCCTTGGACTGGCTTGTTCTCAGCAATCTCTGCAGCCCAGGTTCTGTCAGGAGGACTTCTGCTGACTGCAGGGGGCTCTGTGTCAGAGACAGATTGTGACATTATGAAGACAGAGAAGAAATGGAGCCATTTAAATCTAGGCTAGAGCCGCCAAGTATAGATTTTTTTTTACATTAAAATTTTCTGACAATAAAAGTTATGCATGTTGATTATAGGAAAAACAGAAAAGTAGAAAGAAGAAATTTCTTGAAAATCATTATTATGGCGATGTCATTCCAACTTCTAACCTTTTATATATAGTAGACATAGTTTCTATTCCCTAGGGATGTTCTTTGGGTATAGGTCTTGGTTTATTCATTATGTTGAGTACTCAGGAGAGTACTTCCTATTGGAAAATGCTGATCATTTTTTTTATGGGAAATTTCTTGTATTATTTATGGCAGAATTGTTTGACCCTCCATCCCACCTTCCTCCTAGTCTGCCTTCACAAAACTCCTGTTATTTGGATATTGGATTAATCCTCTAATCTCTCTCTCTCTCTTTCCCCTCTCCTCTCCTATTTTCTTGTCTTCATCATTATTTTCTCATTATTATTTTATAACCATTCTATTGAATTCATTGTAACGACCATAGTTTTTAATTATCAAGGACTCTTTCTTGTTTTCTGATAATTCTTTTTTTGTGTGAAGTTTTTTTTATCACTTTATGGGTGCAATTAATAATTTATTTCTCCAAAGCCTGTGCTCTTAACCATTAATTGTGTGTGTGTGTGTGTGTGTGTGTGTGTGTGCGCGCGCGCATATACACATACATATAGTTTTAAGTTTGCTTATATTCCCAGTGTTGTCTGTCTTCCTTCTAAGGTTGTTTGTATCTTTGTTTTGGTCTGCATTTCATGAATGAGCTTTCTCAAATTCCTAGTGTTCCTTGGCTACAACCTGAAAATTTAACTAGAAACTCCCAGGGTGAGGTTGCGTTTGTAACCTGGTGAGTTTTACTGTAAAGTGACTGTGTAAGGGGTGTGAAGTGGCATGTTGAGGAATGAATCTGGTTATTGTACTCATAGTTGTTTTGTGTTTTTTTTAAAGGTTGTTTTGTTTTGCTTCCAATCCTGCATGGTTATTGAATCTAGCAATTATTGTGTGCTTACTACTTTCAGGACATAGTTCTAAGTGCTTTACGGAAATTAGTTAAATTGATCCTCACAATAGTTCTCTTGCAGGTGTGAGAACTGAAGCACAAAGAGGCTGAGTAACTTGCCCAAGCTCACACAGCCAGGCAGGGCCAGGTACCAGCCTTTCTGGCTCCACTGCATCTCCTGCCTCTGAGGTGATGCAGATGGTGGTCTGGATGTTCTTATTGGACCTCATGACATAGCAGAGCTTTCTGCATGGTGTGCTGCAATACCAGTCTCTCGAGGAGCCTGGTCAAGGCCTGGGGCCACCCTGAGCAACCTTGTTCAGCTGCTTTAGTGCTAAACATATACTATAATTTTCTAAGTATTCTCTGTTGTGGAAAGGGTTGCTATTACATTTATTTTTCCTCTAAAACTTACTCTTCAGAAAAGAGGGAGACATCTTATATACAAGTCCGTACAAGATCTCTCTCATACTGAGGATTTTTCTCAATTGGCTTTATGTCGAACAGCCTGGAAAGCACATTGGTCAGTGTTGGTACTGAATACTTATAGAGGTAACTCACTGAAAGAAGCAATAACAAAAGAGGTCAAGAGATTTATACTCATTTAGTAATTATTCCTTGGAAATGATCTCACGATTATAAGAATTAGCGGTGGTAAGTTTATAAAACAATCTTTGTTGTAGAGATCAGAGTGATACAGTTTAAGAATAAATTATTTACTGAAACAAAAGTATATATGTATTAAAGTGTCATATACAGACTGAAAGTGCTCTCTGGATAAGGAACTTGAGGCTTAGAGAACATTAAGTAACTTGACTAGGGTCACATAGCTAGGAGGTAACAGAGTGACTCCACATATGTCTAACTCAAAGCTTTCTTATTCATTTGTGAACTCTGAATTTGTCTCAACCAGTGCTCCTCCTAAAACTGTAATTCTTGCTGCTTTTTATATAGTAAGTAGTGGCACAGTGCACGAAATTTGTGCACATTAAAAGGGAATTACTTAGAGCAAATATTTTAATATTGCTATTTGCCCTTTCTCTATAATAGAAGTGTCAGAGATGAAAGAAAATTAGTAAAACGTATATGAAAACCTTTCATATACAGACTGAAAATGCTCAGAGAAGATGGTAGCTCTGGGAAACTGCCAAATATCTCAGAGTGGCTCCTGTGACAACGGATATTGATGTCAAGTAGGCATGGGAAGGAGTAGAATAAAGTTTTTTCATGATGTATGAAAGTGTGGAAAAAATCAATATGTTAAGATATTTTCTTATATGATTTCAAGTGTGTATACATAACTTTTAAATAGATAGTTGACTATTTTATAAACATCCATATTATATTTATTCAAGTTAGCAAAAATAATTTTTGGAGCTTTTCACTAAGAAAATGGGGATAACTTTATAATAAGGTTGTCTCACTATGATATATATATATTTAAATCTTTATTGTTGAAAATATTACATATGTCCCCCATTTTCCCCCCATTAACCCTTTCTAGCTGGCCCCCATTCCCCTCCCCAGGCCTTCACCACCCTATTGTTTGTGTCCGTGGCGACACTATGATATATTAGTAGATATATTAGTCTTGGACCATGTTTGCTTTGTTGGGCTGGGCTAAATCCAACTTGATCACATATATGCATTTTTATTATTCTGCTGAATTCAATTTGTTAGAGGTTTATTTAGGATTTTTGTGTCGAGTCAGGAGTGAAAAGTCGGGGAGGCTTTTTCTCTCTGTGTCAGGTTTTGTTGTCTTGGTTATGCTCACTTAATAAAACAGTTTGGGTGGTTTTTCCGTTTTTTTTCTCTGCTCTAGAGCAAATTCACAGGCTGTTTGAAAGATCTGTCTGTGTAAGCTGGTCCCTGAAACCATTTTTGGAGGCTTTTTTTTAAAAAAAAATTATCTTCATAGTTTAGATTTTTGCTGAATTATATCTAGGCGTGGGTCTTTAAAATATTTTAAAATTAATTTTGCCTGAAATACAGTGAACCCTTTGATCTCTACGCTGAGATTATTTTTCACTCCAGGAAGTTTTCCCTGTTCATATTATAGCTGTTGCTTTTGTTCTGCTTGATTTATTTCTCAAAAGTATCTTTAATTAGTAGGTTGAATCACTGACTCAATGTCTCTTTCATCATTTTCTGTGTTTTGTCCTTTTTCTCAGTCTTCTGGATCCAGCTCCTTTGCATTACATTTTTTCAATTTTAATTCTGCTCTTTAATATCGCCAGTGTAGATTGCTATTGATTTTGTTTTTAGTTGCTTTGCAATCCTTTGTTTGCCTTAGTTCACTGGTCATGTCATTAAGCATTAAAGCTCAATGTAACCTTGTGAAATAAGTTTCTTCATCTCCATTTTGTAAATTTACTAGAGGCCCAGTGCACGAATTCGTGCACGGGCCTGGCCTGATAGGGGCCCATTGGGCCTGCTGGTGGGGGGGAGGGGGGGTGGGGGGGGAGGGGTTGTGGGCAGTTGGCTGGCTGGCCCGCCCCCTATTAGGGTGTTGTGGGCTGATTGGGGGCCAGGCTGGCCAGGTGTGGGGGCGATCAGGGCCTGGATCAGGCTGATTGGCTGCCACAGTGTGTGTCATAGCCATCGGTCGTTCCAGTCATTCTGGTCATTCTGCTGTTCCAGTTGCTGGGCTTTTATATATACTAGTATAGATAAATGAAGAATGAAAGAGGTTAAGTGCTTTTCTCACGGCCACTACTACTCTGAATGTCTTTCACTCCATATGCACATTTTGGAATATTAACGCCCAATGTGATGGTGTCAGAAGGTGGAGCCTTTTTGAGAGTTAAAGGCTGGGAATGAGATGGTCCGATAAATGGTGTGCTGGTGGGGAGGAGCCTGGGCAGCATCCTCAGCTATGAGCCATGAACATTAGCAAGGGCAGAATGGAGAACAGTCATGTAGTAGGAAGCTCAGCACGGCTGGAGCCCAGAGTACAAGGTGGGGAATGGTTAGATGTGAAGCTGGAGATTGTAATGTAAGACCTGGCTCAGAGCGGAAGGAGGTAGAAGGTGCTCTGAAGGCCGAGGGGAAACATCAAAAGGTTTTAAGTAGGATCATATTTTCATTTTAGGATTAGTGTGGAGGATTATTGAAGGCAGATTGGCGTTCTAGAAGGTGATGGCGGTCAAGAGGGGTAGAGGGTAAGGAGGGCCTGAGTAAAGGCAGAGAGAAATTTGAAGGAGATGAAAGGACAGATTTAAGAAATGCATAGGAGAGCGTGGACAGTTGATCTCTGAGAGTCCTTGTTACTAGGAAAGTTGAGGTGCTGTAATTCTGTGCTTTCAGAACTTCCATCAGGACTGGTGATAGCCTTTGATGGAACCATCCCTTCTGGGGTGCATTTGCAGAGAGCTGGAAAGAATGCAGCCCGTGGCCAGAGTGCCCGTGTAGTCCACAGAGCAGTAGATTCATAGTCCATTTGAGACTGGGGTGGGGTCTACTGGGAAATGTGCAGAAATGGCTTTGGCTGTCACAGTGTTTTGAGGGTGAAGTCATTTGAAGGACCAGCCCTGTAGTGCTCAGGCAGCTCTGCACAGTGGAGACATGTCCTG